TACCTGTGCGACATCAAAATCCTTCTTCGTGATGAAGCACCATGTCAATAAGGCTCTGTTGAAGTTCACATCAGTGGTATTGCTGGAAGGCATGAACCTACTGCAGATGACCGTCAACCAACACTTAGCCAAGTGCGTGAAGGAGTTGGAGTTCAGGGTGATGTGGTCTTTGATCCAAGTTGGTCGCCCCCCAGCACAAATGACATCAGTCATAACTTCCCATGTGACATCTGGTCTGTCGTGGTAATAGTCAATGTCGCCTGTGAACTCAGGCAGCTGTAACGTCTGGCGAATATATGGAATGTGGGCTGGGACTATTGTACCCCGCACAATCACATCTCTACTTGAGTTTGAAGGGCAGTTCGCATGGAAATCCCTAACAATCATCTGGTTCACCGGGACAGGCTCATCAAAGAGGAATTCCATGCCCCTCCTCCGAATTTCTTCATACATTTCCTCCTGTCCACGCGGAGGGCTTCCCTGTCAATTTGAATCTCCTGAATGAAGTTCTTTCCAACCTTGGCATTAAAATCATCCTCCGCTCGTTCCGATCAAAACCTGGACTCATCATATGTCAGCTGTTGAGATGTGCCAACTCTTCTCCTTTGCCTCTTGGGAGCCATAGTACCTGCAGAGAGTTCAGAAAAACCATCAAATTCATCCTAACTAGTGCCAATCGGATGGTTACTCAGACTTCGCCACCCGATGGCACCAAAACAATACCCCCATTGTGTTTTGCTTTGCAAAGTAGCCCCACTAGCAGGGTGGTGAAGGTCACAACCTCCACAAGGGCCTCACAACAGAACTACAACATTCGGCCTACACCACCCCACACTTACTTCTTCACATATTTTCAAACAATAACAATATCTTCAGTCACAAAGTACAACACCCCACAATTAGGAGTGGGTATAACCCGCCCCACAATATCACAACAACTCCAAATTTTCGGCCAAAATGGTGTCAAACAACAACTACACCCCAAAAAGATTTTTAGGCCTCCAAAATATCAAAACACACCCTAAAATTGAAACACCATGAAGGCCCAAGCACCTTAGCACCAACCAAGTTCACAACATTACCATACAACAATGAAAACCATGAAAGAAAGCAAAAATTTACAAAAATTACACTAAGCCTACCTAGGGTTAAACTTAAAAGAAATTATGCTAAATTACACTAAGTTAGAGGATGAAATAGAGAGAGAGAAAGAGAAACTTACTTGCTTGGATGAGGGAAAGTGGGTGGTGAAGGTGGAAAGTAGGGGAGGATGAGAATGGAGTTTTTGGGTGGGTGAGAGAGGGATTTTGTGGAGAGGAGAAGAGGAATAGAGAGAGAAAGAGTTTGGGGCGTTTTGGGGGGTTTGGGAATCTGATGGGGTGGCTTAATGGGTAGGTGGGGGGTATTTTGGGAAAAGAGGGCGGAAAAATCGAAACAAAAAAATAAAAAATAAAAACATACCTGGGCCCGTCTGGGGTCTGTCGCAGTTCTGCCGCGGTCGCGGTAGGATCGCGGTAGACCAGATTCAGAGAGGGGTCGGGACAACGGTTTGACCGCGTTCGCGGTGGAACCGCGAGGGGTTGGGTTACCGCGGTTTGACCGCGGTCGCGGTGCAATCGCGGTCTGGGCATCATGCAGATTCCGACGTTTTTTTTATATAAAAGAAATTACACTTACAACAATTTCATGGGTTGCCTCCCATGCAGCGCCTAATTTAACGTCGCGGCACGACCCATATGAGCGCAATTAAGGCTCGCTCGACCTCTGTGGTTCATTCAAATGCAGTTCAGACCCTTCCTTAGGCTCGCTCATGCCCACATACAACTTCAATCGCTGACCATTGACTCTAAATGTACAAGAGTCATTCTCAGCGGCCATTTCAATCGCTCCTGACGGAAAAACTTCAACTACTCGAAACGGTCTAGACCATCGTGATTTCAGCTTACCCGGAACAACCTCAATCTTGAGTTGTATAGCAATACCATGTCCCCCGGTTTAAAATTTCGCTCCACAATGTTCTGATCATGTAGCCTCTTCATTCTCTCTTTATACAACCTTGTGCTCTCAAAAGCAAGATACATGAACTCCTCGAGCTCATGCAATTCTGTGACTCTTGATGGGCCCGCATCTTCCATGTTTAAGTTTAGTTGTTTCAGTGCCCACCACGCTTTATGCTCAAGTTCGACAGGCAGGTTACAGGCCTTCCCAAACACCAACTTGTATGGTAACATACCAATTGGTGTCTTAAAAGTTGTTCTGTAAGCTCAGAGTGCATCATCTAGCTTCCTCGACCAATCAGTTCTTGTGGCGTTCACAGTTTTTGTTAACACACTCTTGATTTTCCTGTTGGATACCTCAACCTGTCTACTGGTCTATGGGTGGTAAGGATTAGCCACCTTGTGGTGCACATCGTACTTAGCCAACAACTTTTCAAAGGCCCTATTGCAGAAGTGAGTGCCTCCGTCGCTGATAATTGCACGTGGTGTCCTAAAGCGGGTGAATATGTTTTTCTTTAAAAAACCCACCACCACTTTTGCATCATTGGTGGGCAACGCTGCAGCTTCCACCCACTTGGACACATATTCTACAGCAACAAGAATGTACTTATTGCCATAGGAGCTGACGAAGGGACCCATGAAGTCAATCCCCCAGACATCGAACACTTCAACCTCCTGAATTGGGTTCATGGGCATCTCGTGGTGCCGGAAAATGTTCCCGGTGCATTGAGATTCATTACAACCCTTCACCCATGAGTGAGCTTCTTTACACACAGTCGGCCAGAAAAATCCGGCCTCTAGCACCTTTGTTGTTGTCCTGATCCCTCCAAAGTGTCCACCATAAGCCGATGAATAACAAGCCTACAAAATAGAAGGTTGTTCCATCTCGGAGACGCATCTCCAGATCATGTTATCCAGGCATATTCTAAAGAGATAGGGCTCATTCCAATAGTACGAGCGGCTTTCACAAAAGAATCGTTTCCTCTGGACCGATGAAAGGTCGTGAGGAACTATACCACTGGCCAGGTAATTGGCAAAGTCCGCATACCATGGCGCTTCCTGATGAGTGGTGGCGAGCAGCTGCTCGTCTGGAAAAGTTTCCAGAATTTCCTCAACTTCAATTGCGTTTTCAGCTCCCTCAAGTCGTGATAGGTGATCAACGACTTGATTCTTAGTGCCCTTGCGGTCACGTATTTCAAGATCGAACTCTTACAGCAGCAACACCCAACGAATCAGGCGTGGCTTAGAGTCTTTCTTTTCTATTAAGTACCTGAGAGCAGCATGGTCAGTATATACAATTACCTTTGATCATATCAGATAGGACCGGAACTTGTCGAATGCGAACACCACAACTAGCATCTCCTTTTCAGTCACCGTATAGTTCAACTGGGCTCCACTCAGCGTTCTACTAGCATAGTAGATTGGTGCATCAATTTGTCCTTTCGCTGGCCCAGCACTGCCCCCACTGCATAGTCACTAGCGTCACACATTAATTCGAATGGTTGCTCCCAGTTGGGGGCAACAATGATGGGTGTTGTGACCAGCTTCTACTTCACCTCCTCAAAAGCTACCCTGCAATCATCAGAAAATACAAACAAGTGATCTTTCTCTAATAACTTACAGAGAGGGTTGGCGATTTTGGAGAAGTCTTTTATGAACCGCCGGTAGAAACCGGCATGTACAAGAAAACTTCTGATTGCTTTGACCGAGGTTGGTGGAGGCAGCTTTGCTATTACATCAACCTTTGCTCGATCTACCTCTATTCCCTTGCTTGACACTCGGTGCCCCAAGACTATGCCTTCTTGTACCATGAAATGACACTTCTCCCAGTTCAGCACCAGATTAGTCTCGATGCACCGTTTCAGCACACGCGTCAGATTCACTAGGCACTCATCAAATGAATTCCCCACCACTGAGAAGTCATCCATGAACACCTCCATTATATCCTCAACCATGTCAGTGAATATGGCCATCATGCACCGTTGGAATGTGGCGGGTGCATTGCATAGGCCAAAGGGCATCCTCCTGAAGGCATAAATGCCATAAGGGCATGTGAAGGAGGTCTTCTCTCGGTCCTCAGGTGCAATGAAAATCTGATTGTACCCCGAGTACCCATCCAGAAAGCAGAAGTGTGACCTCCCTGCCAATCTATCCAGCATTTGATCAATGAAGGGAAGTGGGAAGTGGTTTTTCCGGGTGGCTAGATTCAACTTTCGATAATCCATGCATATTCTCCAGCCGGTGACGGTTATCGTTGAGATTAGTTTATTATTGTCATTCTTCACAACCGCCATGCCACCCTTCTTAGGCACACATTGAACTGGGCTAACCTAGTTGCTGTTAGAGATTGGGAAAATAATTCCTGCATCTAACCACTTTATCACCTCCTTCTTCACCACTTCCTTCATATTTGGGTTTAGCCTCCTCTGATATTCCCTGGAAGGTTTGTGCCCCTCTTCCAGTAGAATTTTATGCATGCAGTAAGCGGGGTTGATCCCCTTGATGTCTGCCATGGTCCATCCAATGGCAGTTTTGCACTCCTTCAATACCTGTAGAAGCTGTTGTACCTGCACATCTAACAAACCAGATGAGATGATAACAGGTAGAGTGGAGTCAGGTCCCAGAAATTCATACCTGAGGTGGGCTGGCAATGGCTTTAGTTCCAGCTTCGGTGTTTCTTCAATGGATGGCTTAGCTGGAGGAGTCTCTCTCTTTTCTAAGTGTAGGGGCTCAAACTCTAGATTTCTTTCCCAGGCCCCTCAACCTTCCAATGCCAACACCCATTCCGCCAAGTCCCCACCATTCACTTCCTCCAAATTCGTCAGACATGCAGCGAGGGGATCCTCAACCGTCAACACTTCATCATCAGATTGTACGATTACATCCATGGCATCAATAAGGGAGCAATTGGCAACTCATTTGGTCGCCTCATAGATTTCTGCACATTGAATATAATCTCTTCGTCATTGAGCCTCATCTTAAGCTCCCCGGTCTCACAATCAATCAGATCTCTCCCTGTGGCCAAGAATGGTCTTCCTAAGATGATAGGAATTTCTTCATCCACTTTGCAATCCAAGATCACAAAATCTGCAGGGAACACGAATTTCCCCACCTGAATAAGCACATCATCAAGGATCCCAAATGGACGCTTCATAGTCCTGTCAGCTAGCTGCAACAACATAGAGATGGGTCTAGCTCTCCAAATGCCCAACCTCTTGTAAATAACCAGGGGCATAAGATTAATGTTGGCCCCTAAATCACAGAGTGCTTTCGCAAAAGCAAAGTTTCCAATAGTGCATGGAATAGTAAAACTCCCTGGATCAGAGAGCTTTTCAGCAACAGGTCTAGTTACCGCTGCACTGCAAGTCTGAGTAAGTGTCACCGTGGCCAAGTCTTGGAAGTCAAACTTCCGAGACATCAAGTCTTTCATCATTTTTGTGTATCCAGGCATCTCCTTTAAAGCTTAATTCAATGGAATATTTACCTGAATTTGCTTGAGAATCTCAAAGAACTTTTTGTACTGCTCCTCCTTTTGATGCTTGGCCAACCTCTGTGGAAATGATGTAGGAGGTCTTTTCTTCCCAATCACTTTAGACTTTTATTTCTCAGCTACTATCTCCACTACCGGCTCTTCAACTGCTTCAGCAACTTCTCTGTCTCCTACTGAATATTCTTTTCTTCCTGAACAGGCTGGACTATCACATCTGTCAGCCTTGTGGATTCATCCAGCTTCATGGGTACCTGAATGAGTGTCTCAGCCTGTATATTATCACGAGCTCTCTCCTACTCTACATCAAGATCCCTGCTATTGCGGAGACTCACCGCCATCAGCTGCTTCGGGCCCTGATCTTTAGGATTGTTTTGGGTATCTGCAGGTAGTGTCCCTTGAGGACGGTTGTTCAGAGACATTGAAATTTGGCCCACTTTCACTTCAATATTTTTGATAGCTGTGTCATGTGCATCTACTCGCTCATATATCTTTGCAGTGGACCCAATAACCTGCTGCATCATTGCTTCCAATCTAGCAAACCCATCATCTTGTCTCCTACCATGCTGTTGTTGAGTTGGGTGGTACCCTTGCTGCTGATTATTGTACCCCTCATACTGATTATTATACCCCTGTGGTCTAGGATACGGTGCCATGTTGTTGGGGGGTCTCATACCTCCCATGTTTCCGGTGTTATACTTTGGCTGAGGTGGCCTATACTGCTGCTGAGTCTGCTGTCCCCAGTTCTGATTTCCTTGTCTCTGCCTCTTATAGTTAGCCACATAGTTCATATCTTCGGGGTGCTGGTGGTGATGATCATGCTCTGCATTCCAAGGATTACCAATTGGTTGGCTAATGCAAGATGTGCACAAGCCCCCATTGGTAGTGTCAACTATATGTACCTGCTGCTTCTGCCCTGATTCCTCCACCTTTTTGGTGAGGATGCTCATTTGTGTCAGGAGATTCGCCATATTTTCAGCCATAGTGTTTGAAGGATCAAGAGGCACTGAGTGCACCACTGGAGTGATAGGTGCATTTCTGGATGTCCATCCCGAATTCTGTGCCATTTTATCAAGTAAACTCTGGCCTTCTCTCCATGTCTTGCTCAGGAATGCCCCACCAGCTGAGGCATCCACAATATTCTTCAACCCATCTGATAGTCCCATATAAAATCGTTGTCCCAACATCTATTCTGGAACACCATGATGTGGACACATAACCAACATTCCTTTGAACCTGCCCCATGTTTCATGCAGTGTCTCCATCGGTTTCTGCTTAAAGCTCACTATCTCATCAATTTGTTAGGCAGTTTTGTTGGGTGGATGAAACTTGTTATGAAATTGTTTGACTAACTTATCCCAAGTTGCAATAGATTTTATGGGGAGCGAGTTAAGCCAAACCTGTGCAGCTCCTGTCACCGAGAATGGGAACAATAATAGCCTAATTACCTCTGGAGTGACGTTGGGTTGCCTTTGAGTTTTGCATATCGACAGGAAATTCTTCAGGTGCTGCTGAGGGTCTTCAAGTTGTGTCCCAGAGAATAGTCCCTTGTTTTGTAACAAGTGTAGCATATTGTTAGTGATCTGGAAGACTCAACTTGTATATGGCAGTGGCCATATTGTCAGCTATGGGCTGTGCCCAGTCATACAGTGCACCCTCGGGAACAAGAGGTCCCGCTTCTCTAACATTCAAGATGACTTGCTCATGTCTGCCATTTCCGTTGGGGTCGATTACGTCTTCCATATCAGTTTCGAATTTGTCTGTTTGTTGAGGTGGTTGAAGTCTTCTATTGGCACGGTTCAATGCCCGGAATATTTTCTCAGGGTCTGAGAGTCCTTCAAGTAGATCTCCATTCCTTGTAGAGTTTCTAGGCATACACCTGTGCAACCAAGTCATCAACCGTCAAAAGTTTCAATCAAGGCTTCGTAGTAATATACTATTGCACTCTCCCGAGATACACTAGCTAGCTTTAATTAACACAGTTCACTTAAGATTACACCCAAGGCTTCGTTATCCCTAATCCCGCCTTTAAACCCGCAGTTATAGATTCCTCTTATACTTTAGGAGTGGTGTTATTCAACAATAACCTAAATATACACTCTCTTCCAAGTTATGCATGTCACACCTCCTTTTTACGCACCCGCGGGGGCGCAGGGGAGTTTATTCCAATTAAAGGACAATCGAGACGGGATTGGTTTAATTATTTCAGAGTCGCCACTTGGGAGA